ATCGGAAACCTCTGCCCATTAATGTATTTTCTATATTTTTAAAATATGTTCTGAGATAAGTCCCATTTTTCATTCAGTCAAGTGCCCAAACGTTTATATGATTATACTCTTTCCACTGTTTCTCCATCTATTCTGATGCCAGATATTCTATTCAATTATTAGCTAGATTAATATACAACCATAAATATAATTTACATTCTCACATATAATGTTTATGTATTTTGGAAGATATGTAAACAAGAAAACTATTTAATAATTAACTGCAGATTATCTACATGAATTCGTTTACTTAAAGATTTTATAAGTGGCCAACCAAATCACCTGAACTAATCTTCTCCACTTTGATATTTACTTTAATTTGTATAATTTTTAGGTAACTTACCTCATATTTTTTCAGTAAACACTGCTGCAAAGAGATATACCCCACTTTAAAGCACTCAATAAGAAAATTTTCGACATTTAATTGTATTTGAAAAGAAATGAGAAAACAGTTTTTATTTTTAACTACATTTTTAAGTTATTGTACTTTGAAATAAACAGTATATTGCCACTAACCAACTCACGAGATATGCTTTTATTTTTTATTCATTGTCAAGGCCAATAGCATCTAGATATAAATATTCATTTATTATATTATCAGGTATCACAAGCTAAAAATAACCGAACACAATCACCTTACTTGTTAGGTTTGTTTAAATTTTCTAACCTTAATTTATAATCCTCCAAATATTTCTCGATTTATTGTTAGAAATAGATTTTTGTAAACAGTACGTCCACATTCCTTACCATTTGAAAGTACTACTATTTCTGGAGGGATAATCCAGAAACTGACAGAGAATGTAGCGTAGAAGTAATTTTAAACTGTTTGTCCTCGTTTTAGTGTAGTGTTTTGTATAATTTATGTTAGTTTTAATGTTTCCACATCCTACGCTTGCCGGATAGTTCTTATTTTGACGAAATGCCCCTGAAGATGCTATTTTAAGCGAAAGTACTTGGGCTAGATTTAATTAACTTGTGCTCGATAATAGCCTTATTTTCAAAGTTCTTTAAATATTTGTTGATTCCATTGTCTTTGTGTTGGATCAATTTTCTTTTGAGTAGTCTGCAAGCTCTACTAAGATTTGCTTTTTCAGGATGCTTAGTGAGCTACTACTTCTTTTGCAGTTTTCTTTTTTACAATATATAATTGATTCACAATTTGTCGATAGCTCACTACAATTTTAACCCTAATTAGAGAACTGAAATACAGAGAGGATAGGTAATACGATATAATAGTAAAAACCAACCTGAAACTAACGGTTTCAGATGTTCTCGACTAACCCACCTTGTATCTGAAGAAATAAAAATACATCAGTCAACCTTATAATCCGATGAGGGTTTATAATTAGCGGTTGTCTCTACGGTCGCATCAATTATGTTATCAAGATCCCACATTTTTTGTTCTTCTTCTATTACATGTCTTACTACATCTTTCCAGTTTTGTTCTGTAATATGTTGTAAAGACTCGTATAGCAATTCACGTACAGCTTGTATTTTATATGACGTATTTTTTCTAGCCACATAACTTTTCATTTGTGCCCAAATGAGTTCAATTGGATTTATTTCACAGTGGTATGGTGGAAGTCTAAGGACTGTGATGTTTCGCCTTTCCGTCATTTTGTCAACTACGTATTTCTTGAACCTAGATTTGTGTTGCCAGGCAATTTTTAAAAGTTCTGCTTTTACCATTCCATCTTCGTAAGGCAGATACTTATTCAGCAGCCAGTCAAGAAGATCCTGTTTCTTCCACACAGTCGTTGGAAGTCTTTCTACTATATAGTCGTGAATGATAAGGTGCATTATCTAATACTATAATTGAATTTGGTGGTATGTGTTCAATCATCTGCTCAAAATACTCTTCGAAAACATCAGCTGTCATCTCCTCGTGATAGTCTTTTGTGCTTTTGGACTGAAATTCCAACAAATCATGCTTAACAAATCCTTTTTCACTGCCAATGTGGGAAATTATTATTCTACTGCCTTTACCAAAAGGTGGGGAGATACCAGTAGTAATATAATATAATAACCAATATTGTTCGTGAAAGTTTTAATTGTTTTTTGCTAAATATATTAGTATTAAAACATTATTAATATTAATTTTAATGAATAAACACCTCAGGGATGCCTATGATAATACAAATTTTACGACTTTGAGGCACATTTCGTGCTATCAACAATTTGTGAACGGATAATAAGTGTATTTATGTGAGCAGGATCGGACTCGGAGTTGTGTTAAGTAATTTCTGGGGTGGGCGTCAAAGCTTCTTGCTGAATAAGTGTAGTTAAGTGAGTAACGGCATTTTCTATGTCGCTAAGAGGCAAGTTTAGATTAAGGGATTTTTTTATTTCTTCTCTATATCTGTTCCAGTTGGTTCTTTTATTCGAGAGTGTTAAACGTTTAGTACAGTTACGAATTTGACTTTGTAGATTTATTATAAGATGGGAATAAGCGTTTATAAATTAGATTATATTAAAATAAATATACCATTATATCTTAGTCTACGAATTAGACAAGCATTCCTGTGTATACAGAAATCACATGCCTGTATGTGTTTGGTGCTTTCTTTTAAATGTACTTTTACTAGTATTACTTAATTTGCCAGGTCCAGTCGTGTGGAAATCTTAATTTCTTTTATGTGCTTATTATCTTTTTAATCTTCAGTTTGGTTCAATACAATTGGTTAAAGGTTGGATCATCTGTGTCTTGCTGGTGTTTTCGTCATAGTTTGTCATGCTTCTTAATTTTTCATTCGGATAGTTCCTTAGGTTATTAAATACTTCATGGGCTTTGTAGTCCATTCTCACTATCCGTATTTGTTTCGTTTCTTATTTGGGTATATTACGTATCTTTTTTGGCTACTTGTAATTTCCTTGTGTTAGTTTCGCAGATTTGGCCAATGCTGCTGAAGCATATGTTATTGCTGTTATAAATATTATTCATCAGACTTAGTTTCGTCTTCAGCCTTAATTTGCTGTTTCTCCCTATAATAGGTCTTAACATGATTCTTAATGCTATACGTTTGATAATATTATCAGTATTCCTCTTTTGAAACATTGAGCCTGTGATTTTTCTGAGTTTACAGCAATTTTCTATGAAAGTTAAAGTCCAATATTCTCACTGGTATTGCCGTGGCGACCTCATTTAAATTGAGCATGTACGCGGTGTGGTTCGTGTGTCCTCGGTATATATGATGTACAGAAAGGGTGACAGTACGGCTCTCTGTGGCACACCAGCCTCAGCTGTCCCGACTACATACGAGAAAAAACACGTTAATTTTTGGGTGAGTCATTTATGCCATACTCTGTCGAATGCCTTACTGTCATCTAGGAACATAGTTTCATTTTTTTTTCTAGATGACTCTCTGTGTGATATACTCTATCAATTTTAACACCTCTAATTCGCAACAGTGTTTTGATCTAAATCTGAATTATGCTTATCTGTTCCTGTTGCTTCTGTCTCTCCTATTAACATATTAATACATATTTCTTCTTCTTCCTTGGGTGCCGTGTCCGTATTCAGACGTTGGCCGTCATCATGTTTACAATTTCCTGAAACCTTTTTCTGTCAGCTGCTGCGCGAAATAATTCTTCTACTGTGGAACCACACCATTATCTAATATTACGCAGCCATAGAAGTTTTTTTCGACCAATCCATCTCTTTCCTTCCACTTTTCCTTGTATTATAAGGCGAATTAGATGGTATTTAGGTCCTCTAATTATAAGGCCGAAGTATTCTGTTTTTCTCCTCTTTATGGTGTTTGTGAGCAGACGTTCTGAATTGATCATTTGAAGAACATCTTCATTGGAAGTATGCGAAACCCACGATATCTTTAGGATTCGTCTATATCACCACAATTCGAATGCTTCTAACTTGTTTAGCATTGTAGTTTTTAGCGTCCACGTCTCACAACCATACAATAGGATGGACCACACATAACATATCAGGACCTTCTTACGAATATTCTTCGACAGGTTTCTGTTGCATAAAACTGGTTTCCACGTCATAAAAGCCTTACGTGATATTTCGATCCTAGTTATTATCTCTTCATCAGAGTCACAATGTACATTTAACCAGCTGCCAAGATATTTGAAATGATTTACCCTTTCGATCTCCTCTCCATTAAGAGAAATCAGACCTTGATCTATATTGATCTTTCCAACTGCCATCCACTTTGTCAGGCCTCTCATTACTAGATTTAATAATGTTTGGAGATCTTGTAAATTTTCTGCAAGAATGGCTGTACCGTCAGCGTATCTAATATTGTTGATTACTTCTCCACATAGTCTTACTCCCTCTTGTCTGTCATCCAAAGCCTCCCTAAAGATTTCTTCAGAGTACAGATTAAAAAGAGTGGGTGACAAAACACAACCCTGCCGTACTCCACGTTTGATGGATATTTTTTCAGTCGGACTGTCTCCAATTTGGATAGGGGCTACTTGATTGTAATATAAGTATTTCAGCATTCTTATATCATAGTGGTCAAGTCCTGCTGCACGTAGGCAATCGAAAAGTGTATCGTTTTGTACTCTGTCGAACGCCTTCTCGAAGTCGATGAAACAAACATAAACATTCTTTCGGCATTCACAACTTTTTTGTAATAGAACGCGCATACAGAATAGTGCGTCTATAGTTATTAGACCGTTTTTAAATCCAAATTGCTTATTACCCATCCTACTTTCGCATAGAAGGAATAGTCGGTTTTGTATAATTCATATTTACTGTTTACCATTTTAGTTAGTAGTCTTTATTTATAGCGGAAGCCGTTAGCAGAAGCTCTGATTTTCTGCTATGGAGGTATCGTTACTCAAACCCGTCTTAGGAGGTCTAAGAGTCTGAAGTGTGCATAAATGAGCCCTGCCCCAATGTACCGAAACCATCGTTAAACAAATACTCATATTATTATACAAATAAAATACTCGTTGGATTGATTTTTATTTATTCTGTTTTTCACAAATTCCCTTAAAAGTACAAAACGAAAGTGATAGTGGAAAATATTTGTCTAAGTATGAGATATCACAATGAACTAATATAAGACTTAGGGATTATTCAAATGTTAAATATTCGAAGTAACAAAAATAATTTATTCCTAAAATCTTCAAGAAAAGGAATTCTTCCTTCAAGAAAATGTTCTTTAATAAGTATTAACTTAAAATAATGTACTCTCGAAATGTTTACGGTACAGAAAACTATTACATCTATTCAATAATGGAAATGTCCTCATCAGTGGGATTAAGTTTCCTCCTTTTAGAGGAAGAACCTTCTTGGGGATCATTATCAACTTCCTCCGCCTCGTCATCGTCTTCTTCGCCCACAACCATCAGATCATCGTCATCGCTGACTTCATCTTTTGTGTCGGCCTTGGATTTTCCGTTTTTCTCCCCATTTTGTTCGCCTAGAAAATTACAGAAAGATTAAACAAACTGGAACTAAACCACAAATTAATTTTAAAAAATATCAAAATATCTCGTATAGCTCTTCTCACATCCTCTTTCCAGTAACCTATTTCTTTTACTGCAGTTTTAACAGTATTGTGAAGGAGGGAGGAGAAGCAGTACCTACTTCAACATTGGAGAAACTACACACAGCAACTATACTCAGACAATACTAGAAGAAACTCTGAAAGTGAATATAAAAGTCAACCCTTCCCCAAAATATTGAAGTCGGAAGTTGTAAGGGCAATCAAACAGTCATCATCATCATCCAGCCGAATTTTCACATCCATTGTTGGATATAGGCCTCCTCCAAACGTCTCCAGTTCTCTCTATCTCTAGCTGCTGCAATCCAGTTTGTTTCTATTCTCCTTAGGTCGTCGGTCCATCGGGTGGGTGGTCTGCCTCGACTTCGCTTGTCGGCTCTTGGTCTCCACTCCAATAATCTCTTCGTCCATCTTCCGTCTTCCATTCTACCAACATGTCCAGCCCACCTCCACTTTTGTTTATTGATTCGCAGTATAATATCGTCTACGACAGTTCGTCGGCGTATCTCCTCATTTCTTACGCGATCTTTCAAGGTCAGGCCCAGCATTGATCTCTCCATTCGCCTTTGTGTTACCCTCAGTTTTTCGGCAGTAGCTTTCGTTAAAGTTAAGGTCTCTGTTCCGTAGGTCAAGACTGGTAAGATGCATTGGTTAAATGCCTTCCTTTTCAGGTGAATTGGGATATTTGTTTTAAAAATGTCTCATCCGTCCATATGCCGCCCATCCCAACATGATTCGTCTATTTAGCTCGCAGGTTTGGTTGTCTCTGGTTATTCTAATTTCATGACCCAAGTATGTGTATTTATCTATTAATTCTACCTTGTTGTTATGGATCTGTATCTCTTTGCTGGGAACCATATTGGTCATCATTTTGGTTTTCTCGAAATTTATCTCCAGCCCAGTTTCTTGTAGTATGTCATTCAGTTCTTGAAGCATGTCTTTGATCTCTCCTAGATTATCTGACAGAAGCACGATATCGTCCGCAAAACGTAGATGGTTTAATCTTTCTCCATCGATGGATATTCCTTTCTGTTGCCATGTTAGTTTTTTAAATGCATACTCAAGAACGGTAATGAACAGCTTTGGTGATATGGTATCACCTTGCCTGACTCCCCTTTTTATCTTTATTTTATTAGTTGCAGAATATAGACTTATGGTTGTTGTGGCATTTTCATATATATTTTTAATTATATTACAATATCTGTGGTCGATCCTGCAATCTTGTAGTGTAGTGTAGTACTCTTGTTTTAAAGTCTACAAATATCAATGCCAAGGGACGGTTATATTCGTTAGTTTTTTCTATTAGGGTTTTTAGGCACTGCAGGTGATCGTTTTTGCCGTAATTAGGGCGGAAACCAGCTTGTTCCCGAGGTTGGTAAAAATCCAGCTTTGTCTCTAATCTATTCGTTATTATTTGGGTGTATAATTTATAAAGATGGTTAAGGAGACTGATTGGTCTGTATCTTTCCAGGTCTGCTATATCTCCCTTTTTGTGTAAGAGTACAGTTATTGAATTATTCCACTTTGTTGGGATATTTTGATTCCATAGGCATAGATTAAAGAGCTTCTGAATTTTGGCTATCAGTACTGAGCCTCCTATCTTTATCGCTTCCGTGACGACACCGTCCTCCCCCGGAGCTTTGTTATTCTTCATCTTTTTTAGGGCCTTGTAAATTTCGTTTAAGGAGATTTCTGGAATATCTTCGGAACCCTGATTTTGAACCTTCCTCTGTTGATATTCGACTATATCTAGAGTCGATTGGTTGCTATATAATGTCTCATAGAATGATTCCACAATTTGTAACAAATGTTCTCTGTTTGATGTAATGTTGCCATTTCTATCCTTGAGTTTGACTATTTGTTTATTTCCATTTGTGAGTTTGCGTCTCATTATTTTCATACTCTTATTTTCCTCAATGGTTTTGATGATTTACTCATCTTTGTATTTTTTAAGTCTTTTCTGATTTCTCTTGATACTTCCTTATTCATTCTATTTATATCGTCGTTACTAGAGTTTTCGTCGCTTCTCAGTATTCTCAGTATCTCTTCTTTGTTCCATTTTTTTCTGTGTTTCCAGAATAATTTTTTCTTCCTTCACGCGTTTTGGGCAGCATTTCTTTTGAGCTTCTGTTATTGCTTCTACTATTATGTCATTTAGAATGTTAATATCATTTGTTGATGATTTTTCTTGAAGGAATTTACTGATGATCTTAAAAATTTTGAATCAAACAGTACAAATGGGGAAAAGGCCAGGCCAAGATGACATAGAGGTTCTAACTATGTTGAGTGAAGACAATATAGACGCGTTGGTAGATCTTTTTAATGACATTTATGAGTCCGGTCAAATACCACAGACCTTTATACCAATCCCAAAAAAGCCAAACGCTAATATTGCGACCAATTCCGAATGATCAGCTTATTGACCAAGGTCTGAAAACTCTTCTTAAACATAATTCATACAAGAACATACAACAGATGTGAAAAAGACATTAGCCCCACACAGTTCGGTTTCAGATAAGGATTTGGCACAAGAGAAGCACTTTATAGCTTAACTGGCCTACTTAAGAAATGCAGAGATCAGCAAAAAGATGTCTTCCTATGCTTTATATATAGATTACCAGAAAGCGTTCGATTGTGTTAATCATTCAGAATTAGTAAGATTGCTCCATGAATGTTCGATAGATGAGAATGACCTAAAAATCATAAAGAACCTTTATATGAATCAAAGGACATCTGTGAGAGTAGGACTGGAATCTACATCATATTTCTCAATCGAAAAAGGTGTACGACAGGGTTGTGTTCTGTTACCCCTCCTTTTTAATGTTTACTCTGAAACGATTTTCGATAGAGCCTTAAGTGACGCTGAAGATGGAATCAAAATCAACGGATAGACTATTAGTAATCTTCGCTATGCTGATGATACAGTCATAATAGCTGATAGCCAAGAAGCGCTACAACGACTAATAGATAGAATAAACATTGAAGGAGAACAACTGGGCTTGAAGATTAATATAGACAAGTCGAAGGTAATGGTGGTTAGTAGAACACGAAATGTGCAATTAAATATAAGAGTAAACAATAAGAACAGCTAAAAGGTCCTTAAGTTCAGATATCTCGGTAATTGGATAACTGAAGATCTAGATCCAGACATAGAGATACGTAGCAGGATTGAGCAAGCCAGAACAGCATTTACTGATATGAGAACCCTGCTAAACAACAGCAGCCTTAACTTAACGCTTCGATATCGCTTTGTAAAATGTTACATTTACTCCATACTGCTATATGGTGTAGAAACCTGGACCATAAAGGCCAATGTGATGAACCTTTGAAATGTTGATATTTAGAAGACTACTTAAAATTCCCTGGACAGATCACACAACCAATGTCGAAGTATTAAATCGAATGGCAGAGAACGAGAATTGCTACCAATAATAAAAAGAAGAAAAACTGCTTATCTGGGTCATATATTTCGAAATTCCAAGTACCAGTTCTTAAAGCTTATTATGAAAGGAAAGATAGAAGGAAACGGGGCATCGGAAGAAAGAAATACTCATAGCTTAAAAACATAAGGGATTGGACAAACCTCGATGTCCATGCACTCTTTGGAGTCACACAAAATCGAGGGGAGTATGCCAGAATTGTCGCCAATATCCACTAATTGGATAGGGCACCATAAGAAGATTTCTTTAACCTTCAGTGGCAAAATAAGTTATGTCAGTAATTATTTCTCAGAGAAAATCAAAAGATTCATATCTATTATATTTTTTTTTCTTGTTCGATTATCATAGATTTGCTATCAAATTGGTCATACTAATTCTAATAAAGGCAGCTCGGAAAAGAGATGCAGAGGATCTGTTAACCCATTCTCTCAGGTTTATAAGTCGTGACATTCGTTTTAGACCTGGCCCTCTTCATATATTATATTGGTTTGTATTCACACCAATCTAGTCCCTAACCAATCGAATAGTGTGAATTATGAACTATGTCAATGCAAACAATATTTTCATAAAGTCTAACCAAGAATGAAAAATTGTAGTGCTGTATTTAATTTTACAATATTTTATGTTTTCACTGTCATTGTATAACTCCTTTAATTTTTGACCAAAATATTAGGAAAAATATGGGTGTATTTACCATTTTCTTTAGCTTTTAAATCTTCTGCGTTTGCGACAATTTTGTACGGTGGATCATCTTTTTCTTTGACCTCATAATGATTGACTGTAATTGTAAGTGCATAATTTTGAAGAAAATCATCGCATTTCAAGATGGTCCCATCAACAATTCCAATATCTTTGAGAATCTTTTTTTCGTTAACCTAAAATAAAATAATTCGTTTTTACTCTTTTTAAGTTGCAAGTAGTAACATCAATCAAGCAAGTAAGGTTTACATGAGTCAAGTAGGTATTCAAGTTACTTAAACAAGTAACTGGAAACCAGTAACTTGAATCGTTTAGACAAATATTCAAGGGCTTGATCAAAAACTTATACAATCAGCCAAGCAAGTCAAGTAACTTGAAAGCCATCCAACTTACTGGTTCAAGAAGGCGAATCCCACCACGGAACGTAGTGGTGGTGGGACTATACTTAAACAGCTTATCTCACACTTGCTTCATGTACAGTCGTTAAGTAAATACATATTTGCTGTTAAGAATTGGTCATGTGAAGTCGATTTTAAAATAAATATAAGGTTGCATGTTCGAATAATTAAACTTTGACGGTATACAAGGCAACTATCGAACACGGTGATTAATTTAATCTTGCCCAAGTACTTTCGATCAATAGATCATCTTCAGGGGCATCTGAAATAAGCCAAGAAACGTTTTTTATAAAAAAGGAAAAGGAGTTTTTTATCCAGGTGAATTAATTTTCCTTTTTTATAAAAAACGTTTCTTGGCTTATTTCAGATGCCCCTGAAGATTGTCTATTGATCGAAAGCACTTGGGCAAGATTAAATTAATCACCGTGTTCGATAGTTGCCTTGTATACCCTCAAAGATTTTAAAATACTTAAATGTTAATTAAAAAATATGAAGTAGAATGAGGAGACAACATTGAAGTTTATGCAGTTGTAAGAACACACATGTCTTTGGAATATATCTAGTAGTCAGTATAGACATAAACAAACGAGATATTCTGCTATTAACAAAATAAAACAAAAAATGAAAATAGATGATTTTGGTCGTCAAGATATGAAAAACAAAATAAAAATCTAAGCTCCACATATTCCCAGAAACGTGATAAAATTGCAAAACATAAAAAATCTGGTGCAGGAACACGATCTTTTTCGCTTCAATTTTATCTCTTCTCTAAACCTCTGTTTAAGTTCAGTTATTTTACTTGAATCTGCATTTTTAGGTTCCTCATTAAATACTAGACAAAGCTTGTATAAGGTTTTATAGGTCAAACATTTTTTTCAGAAATTTTGACAGATAGTGACAAACTTTTTTTCTTTACTCGCCTAACAAAAAAACTTAAAATACATGTATTATGCAAAAATATGAAAAAAAATTCAAAAATAACAAAGTAAAAAATGTGGTAAAGACATTAAAGTTTATCAATTGACAGTGCGGTTGTATCCTTCCATACATATTTCAAATGAACATAAAATAAAAATATTACTTCTTACCTCAGTCTCTCCTTCTTCAGATGAAATAACAACAAGACCTTTTCCATCCAACACAACGTCCGGAGCTACCATGTTTAAATTTTTTTGTAGGATCTCCGTTTCGAACTCTTTGACTGTCATCACGGTAGTATTAACGAAAACATTCACCGATGGACTATGACTACATACGTAACAATTAGGATTCGCTTGTGCGATTTGTTTGTCGGCTGCCAGGACAAATTTGGAGTGGATAGATTTCTGCCTGAGATAGATTGCTGGACACTTTTCATAATTTTTTAGCAATACACGAAAGGCGTGGAGGACTACTAGGCCAGCTATAATTGCGTTAGCGGTTGCGATGGCTGGAATGATATTTCCCGCAATTGCTAAAATAAAACATAATTTTAAAGTAATACAAACAGAGCATTAATAAGGAATTTATACATATACAGTTGGTGTTTTATATTAGTCGGTGTCATATTATATTGTTTTTATGACTTATAGATTGTGGTCTGCAATTATTTCTTCTTGGCGTTTCGTTCTGTTGCTATGTTAACAATCGTCGTCTGTCCCGAAGACAACTCCAGTAGTTACCAGACTGGGAACCAGATCCCAGTCTGGTTTTGACTGATGTCAAAATGATTTAACAATTGATGGATTCAACCGTTACTTGATGGAAATTTATTTCATGTAACAATAAAACACTGAAAACTTTGTTTTCAAACTTCCACAAAATTTATTTTAAATATTATCACTACAGCTGTTTCGGCTAATTGCCTTTCTCAAGTGATCTATTTTTGGCTTGGGTTTACAAATTTATAGTCTCTAATGAAATAGGTTGAGAAGGGGAGAACTGTTTGTCTCAAGTTGGTCATTCAGAATTATATGTGTTTTTTAATTTGTTGATTTCCATAGATTCTAACAAAGATAGCTTAAGGCCTTTATTTTGAATGTGAAGAATTTTAAATTTGTCATTAGAAGAATGATTATGATCTAGAAGGTGAAGTGCATATGTCGAATCTGTTTTTCCATTCTTGAAAGCCCTTTTATGCTCTGCTATTCGTTTATCAACGTTTCTTCCAGTTTGACCGATGTAACTTTTTGGGCAGTCGTCACATTGAAGTTTGTACACACCACTATTTAAGTGTTTTTTATTTTGGCTCTTGTTATTTTTAATATATTTGCCTAGGTTGTTATTTGTTCGGAAAGCTGGGGTTATTCCTTTCTTTTTTATGTGTTTGGCAATTTTTGTTGTTATTTTGCATGTATATGTAATCGAGCAGAAGGTACTGGGTTTTTTCTCTGGTGGTGGAAATACTAATTTCAGGGCTTTCTTGTGTAGTTTTTTATTTAACATTTTATTAATTGTTTGTTCGTTGTATCCGTTGTTTACTGCTATTTGCTTAATTATATTTAATTCTGTCTCAGAGTTGTATTTTGACATCGGAATTTCTATTAATCTGTGTAACATACTATGATAAGCTGCCAGTTTATGTTTTGTTGGATGGGATGATGAATTGTGTATAGTCGTGTCAGTATGTGTAGGTTTATGAAATATGGAGAAGTCATGTTTGTTTTGAAGTCTGCTAATTTATCTAAAAAATTTATGGATTGAATTTGTTCTGTTTCTATTGTAAATTCAATATGACTATGAAGTGAATTAATATACGATAAAAATTGGTCGAGTTTCCTGTTAATTCCTGTGAAACATACCAGTACGTCGTCTACGTATTTCCACCAATATAAAAACTGTTTGAATATGGGATGTTTTGAAATCTTTGTCTCTAGATGATCCATAAAAATATCTGATAGCAATGGGCTTAGAGGATTACCCATTATAAGTCCTGCACTGTTATTTGTATATATTTTATTATTAAATTCAAAGTAGTCCTGGTTTATGCAAACTTCAAGAAGATGTAAAATTTCTGATATAATTATTGGATTTGTACTATGTCGGTCTAAAAGGTTTTTTACTAGAATAAAAGTTTCTGTAGGAGGGATACTAGGAAAAAGATTTTTTACGTCAAATGAAATTAATCTGGAGTTGTTAGGTAATTGAAAATGTTGTATTTTGTTAACTAGTTCTATTGCATTTTTTATGGTAAATTTAGGTGAAAATTTAGTGTGTTCTAAAATAATCTCTAACAGTTTTTTTTTAAAGTTTATATGACGGAGCTGTATAAAAAGAAACTACAGGTCTTATTGGGTGATCCGGTTTGTGTAGTTTAATGAAAGAGTATAATTTAGGAGATTGTGGGTTCATGATATTGAGGTATTTCTGTTCTATTGGATTTAGTATTGATTTTGAATTTTCTAACGCTAGCTTAATTTGCTTTTGATATTTTTCTGTCGAATCTTTGTGTAAAGTTTCAATATTTTGATTATTACCAGAGAAAACCCAGTACCTTCTGCTCGATTACATATACAGGCAAAATAACAACAAAAATTGCCAAACACATAAAAAAGAAAGGAATAACCCCAGCTTCCCGGAAAAATAACAACCTAGGCAAATATATTAAAAATAACAAGAGCCAAAATAAAAAACACCTAAATAGTGGTGTGTACAAACTTCAATGTGTCGACTGCCCAAAAACTTACATCGGTCAAACTGGTAGAAACTTTGATAAACGAATAGCAGAACATAAAAGGGCTTTCAAGAATAGAAAAACAGATTCGACATACGCACTTCACCTTCTAGATCATAATCATTCTTTTAATGACAAATTTAAAATTCTTCACATTCAAAATAAAGGCCTTAAGCTATCTTTGTTAGAATCTATGGAACATGTATGGAACAACTATGTTACATGATTTAACAATGTTTAACTGTATGTGTTTAAATGTTACAAGAAAATTGATAGATTTGGCATTAATTCTTGTTCAATATTAAAACATGTAAAGTAATATTGTAACTGATTTGCTTTTATGCATTTTCTTTTCTATAATTGTTATATTTTTTGTGAAATTAGTATAAAATAAAAAATATGGACGTTTGGGGTACAATGAAACATAACTCGGCGGTGCAATTTGAAGCGTTTCAAGGTGCCCCATTAATATTTAATCAAGACAATATTTTTATTTTTTTCCAGTATGGTTTGAAATCGTTAGAGAAAAACCAATACAGGTTTGTTTCTCGAGACTGACATGAAAAATGCAGTAGAGCTCGTTTGCCAAGGCCATTCCATCAGGCGGGCAGCAGAATCAAAAAATGTAAACTATGTAACATTATCTAGGTATGTCAAAAAGAAAAACGACAATAAGCGTGATACAAATTTAAAGTATGTTTCGCACTACAATATCCGACAAGTGTTTAATGTAGAATAAGAAAATAAACTGAGAGCGTATTTGCTAACGTTCCAAAATGTTTTATGATCTTCCAGTGGCTTCTTCTTCTTTTTGTGCCACTCCTATCGGAGATTGGAAATCATCAAGGCTATTCTGACCTTGTTTACGGCTGACCTTAAGAGTTCATTAGTGGTGTAGCCAAACCACTCTCTCAAATTCCGCAACCATGACATTCTTCTACGGCCTGGATTCCGTTTTCCTTCTATTTTTCCCTGCATTATATTTTGAAGTAATGCGTATTTATGTCCTCTCATCAGGTGACCAAAATATTCGAGTTTTCTTCGCTTTAGCGTTAACAAAATCTCTGGGTCTTTTCCTATTCTTCGTATTACTTCACAGTTTGTTATTCTTTCAACCCAACTAATCTTCAGCATTCGACGGTAGCACCACATCTCGAAACTTTCAATATTTTTCATGTTGTTCTGTTTGAGAGTCCAGGCCTCTACACCGTATAATAGCGTGTTAAATACATAGCCTCTCAGCATTCTTCCAGTGGCGGAATGCAAGAAAGTTGCTATGACATGACAGTAATAAATAAAATAAAATATTCAATTTCATTGGACGCTAACAAATCGGCAGGACAAGATTGGTTCTATGGGTTTTTGAAAAGAAATCCATCGCTCGCCTAAGAAATGTAGTTTGTCCCGGGCTACTTCTTTTTCAAGGACAAATGTAGAAGTGTTTTTTGACAATTTGCAAGCAGTGTACAAAAATCCTTACTTTTGCAATATTTAATATAGACGAAACAGGCACATGCACAGTTCAGAAGCCTCAAAAAACAACTGCACTAGTGCTTAGAAGGGTACTAATGTGACAACCTGTTGCTTCATCTCAGCGAGCGGCAACTGTACCCCACGTCATGATATATTTCCACGTGTACACTTTAAGCCTCACATGGTGCAGCAACCCCTCACTGGTACTTTTGGTTTGGCAAATCCATCAGGCTGTATGACGTCTGTATTATTTGTTGTTAAAGTTAAGGTTGTTAAAATTATTAAACATTTCATCCACCACTCAGAAATCAGCATCCAATCGCCCACTTCAATATTATGCGACAATCACGAAAGTTATTTATCATTGGAGGCACTTAATTTGTGCAAAGAACATGTACTGACTATGTTAACTTTTCCACCACATTCCACCAATAAATTGCAAATCTTAGACGTTGGAATGTTTAAGCCATTCAAAACGTATTACAATGCTGCAATAGATACTTAGATGATGCAGCATCTTGGACAAACAGCAAATATTTACAATTTAACTATTACAGCTGTATTTACAGCTGGTTTTGTAAAAATTGCTCACGAGAGGGTAATGACTCCATCAAACATCACTGCTGCTTTTAAGAAAACAGGGATTTATCCATATGACAGATATGTTTTCACCGATGCCGATTATTTATGTAATTACGTTACCGACCGACCAATGGCGGAGTTGCTAGCTACTTGTCCGGTAAAATAGGATCCACCGTAAGGTGATGTTCCTGCTGAAAAAATCAACAACTCAACAATGGAAATCGATGCAAATGCCAATTCCTCAAGTTTCAATAACAACTCTCAAGACCCCAGTACTTTTACTACTATCAGTAATGTAAAAATTTCCTTATGCGGACCTGAAGATTTTAGAGGATTTCCCAAGGCAGGGAGTAGGAAAAACAATAGAAACGGTCAAGCAAGAGGAAAAAGTATAACAACCAGTACTCCAGACATGACTGCAATTGCCAATAAAACGGCGTTAATAGTAAAAAGAGAAATGGTCAAACGGAAAATATCACATTTTAATAGGAACACTGGGAAGAAATCCAAAAAATCAAAGAGGTTCAGTCTTCATCTCAAGAAGAAGATGTAGTCAATTAAATTGAAACTAATGACGACTTTACGCCATTGAAGACACTTTCATTCTTAATGAAGACAAATTCATAGATCTGGATAGGTTCCTCCTCCTCCTAAGTGCCTTCTCTATTGAGGTTGGCGATCAATATGGCAAATTTCTCTCTGTTCTGGGCTTGATGGATTAAGTCATTTCCTGTTGTGTGAGTCAAATCTCTGATGTTTCGGGGCCAGGATTTCTTCTTTCTTCCTATACCCCTTTTACCCTCGATTTTGCCTTCTAATATTACCTGGAGCTGCTCAAATTCCTTATGGCACATTATGTGTCCTAGATATGACGTCTTTCTAATTTTGATTGTATTAACCAGATGAGGTCGTGTGTTCATTATTTCCAGTACCTCTTCATTTGTAGTTTTGCTGGTCCAGTTTATTCTTAGCATTCGGCGGTACATCCACATTTCGAATGAATTCAGTTTGTTGACGTCATACTGTTTTAATATCCAGGTCTCACAGCCATATAGTAGTAGAGACCACACATAACACTTTAGTGTTCTTAACCTTATTGTGATTGATCGCTTGGGGTTACAGAGCATTTTACGCATGTTCATGAAGCCAGATCTTGCTATTTCAATACGTCTTCTAATTTCTTTTGAATGGTCTAGCTGACTGTTTAGCTCTCTGCCCAGGTATATGAAGCTTTGGGAGCTCTGAAGGGTAATACCATTGATTTGTATGTTGGGTGTAATTTGTTCATGGGGGTTCTTGTGGAATACCATGATTTTGGTTTTGGAAAGATTAATATCCAAACCTAGTCTGTGACTTTCTTCTGATAGTATGTTCATCAATATTTTTAGTTGGTCTTCGTTGGATAGGTTACCCATTAAAAATGATTATGTACTGGTGTATCAATAGTCGCTGAGAATGGCATTAAGATGATTTTGGAGAACCTGGTTTTGGCGGGATCAACCCAACACCAAAAACAATTTATTTCTTTTGGAATGAACTTCACTAATTTAAATATTGGCTAACTACTATATTCATGTTTGAATTATTTTTACTTTGATTATATATTATTTTTTTTAAACTTTGAGGGTATACAAGGCAACTATCGAACACGGTGATTAATTTAATCTTGCCCAAGTACTTTCGATCAATAGATCATCTTCAGGGGCATTTTGTCAGTTGTGGCCTATCCGACATAGTAGAATGTCATAAATGTAAAATTTGGACATAACAATACAAAATACAATACACTAAGACAAACAAACACTTTAAAATTTTTAAGGAGAAGCTACATGTTGTATAGAAGCCGGAGACAGAATGATTCAAGACAGAGTTCATGACAGAATTCTATACAACATGTAGCTTCTCCTTAAAAATTTTAAAGTGTTTGTTTGTCTTAGTGTATTGTATTTTGTATTGTTATGTCCAAATTTTACATTTATGACATTCTACTATGTCAGATAGGCCACAACTGACGAAATGCCCCTGAAGATGTTCTATTGATCGAAAGTACTTGGGCAAGATTAAATTAATCACTGTGTTCGATAGTTGCCTTGTATACCCTCAAAGTTTAATTATTCGAACATTCAACCTTATACGGTATTATTTTTTTATTATTGGAATAAAACTGAATAACACTTTTATTGGACATACTTCTATGTATGTTACCACCACTGGGGCACAATGAAACATTTTTTTTAAGTTGAATTGATTATTACTCAAAATAGTTAATAATAAGGTTTTTGATGCTACTATCAGTCTATTCCTAGTACTGAAGGCCATCATTGAAAACACATTTCAAACTGATATACCTATATGCAAAAACAGGAAAAATAAAAAACAAATTTGTGTTTTATTGTACCCCGTGCTCCCCTATATATTGAGCATAAAACATATTTAGGGATTTAGATAATATAACTTACATTTAATTTCAAACCTTGATTTGGTAGGTATGGAAAATATGTGTGCCCTAACATTAGCACAGGCAGTAACAAAATCCATTCCAGGCTGGTCATCTTTATCCCACACTAAGAAAGATTTGTTAGATAAATCTTTTTTTAGTATGGAAACTGTTGATTCAAATACTTTGGCACATTTGCTTATTGACCAAACTTGCATATTTGTAGCAGTGCCAGATTCTGCATCTGGTTCGGTAGTCCCTCCAAGTGAAAGTGCTTGCTGCCAAGATAAAGGAACAGGTGGTTTACGAGTCTTCCATAGGTTTTCTGAAAGTAAATTTATTTTAGATTGCATAAAAACTAAATTTTATCAATTGGGGTTTTTATATAAGAATGATATTTTTATATAACAATATATGAATGAAGAACAGTAAAAGAATAATAAAAACCACTTATATTAATATATAAATTATTCATTTTAGTTGTAAGTAAAGTATTAAGATGAGAATAATCAATTATTGCTTTCACTATAGTGGAATAAACATGACAAAAAAACAACTACGAAAGCCCCAGAATTCAATAAATATCATTATTTGCCAAGAAAAGTTAAAAAAAAAACAGTAAATGTAATAGGATCAAATAAAAGGAGAATTAGAAATTAAAAGAGGTTAATCTTTGTAAATGGGTATATTTATTTAAAAAACCCTTAAAAGGGCCACATCAATAAAACAAACGTTTTCGGACTACACAGTCCATCATCAGGTTATTAAAATCTAAAATGCCTAAGAATAAGTATAAACCATTTAGTTAAAACAAACGAGATTTTGAAATTTTGACTATGGTTGAAAAGCAAAAGATGGTTATACTTACTAGGTCATAATGCCTGAGCCACCAAAATATTAGGGTAAAAACCCTTTAAATTACATTTAGTTATGAAATGTTGTACATTGTGTTATAAAATAATTGTGATGTTCAATATTAAATTAAATTTGACTAAAGGTAACACATGGCTCAATTGGGTTCCAGAGCCGGGTGAGAGGGTACCTCTGCACTCGGAGAACAACGTGGAACTGATTGACAAGATACTTTTGAAGGATGAAGATAACAGAATGTCAATGCAACAAAAACTATAAAAGTTGTACATAGTATTACTACAGCCAAAAGATTCAACAAGTTTTGATGATTTTAAAAATAACAACAATCTAGGTGTTGGGATTTAGAAACTTTTTATTTATTAATTTAGGGTATAAAAGATGTCAAATCAATGATGGTTTTATAGTCATGATTGATATAATGACCTGTGCCTTAGGCAACTTATGTTGCTTTTCGTCATATGGAATGTGGTCTAAAGTGTATTTAATTTTGGGTTAGCTTGTATTTATGAAATTTATCCTTTTATGTTTAACACATCTAGGACAAGGTAAAAATTAAATAACAAATATTTGAAGCTAATATCAGACCTCATATTTAAATGACTTTATTTAAGAATGCTCCTATGGTGAAAAATTAATAAAATTAAGTTTAGTAAGATGGAAATCTACAGGCTGAAGAAGTTGAAGTAATAACATATGTCGTTGAATTTAAAATTGGAGAGACTGGGTTCCTCAGAGACTAATGAGAATGAAAGTAAAAGAAATGACCGAAGAAAAGGAGGGGGGGGGTTGAAGGAGAAAAGGAGTTGATCAACAATTAGAGATAATAGGGGTCCTTTATACTTAAAGTATCTAGCACCCTGAACAAAATCTATTTAGGTGGTATTAAATTCAGTTTGTAGAAACCTGAAATTTGTTGTATATGTGTGCTACTAAGTTGTTGACCGAAAAAAGGTGGACAAAGGTAGATTAGGATTCTTTGTAATATGGTAGATTATGAATTTTAATAAATTGTTAGATAATGTTTGAGTGATTACTAAATTAAAACTATTGGATACATGTTTAATATATGAATTGACCAAGAAATAATGAAAGAGAACAAAATTAATAGGAAAACGATGTAGAAGTGAAGAGTGGATAAGATAGTGAAATGTTGGTATGATGGATGTGGATGGTTCTGAAGTTAAAATTGGGGTCAGAAATTTGTGAGAGGAAGGTGTGACGATATTGTATAGAATGGGTGTTTGAAGAACAACAAGATTATGTAGGAATAAGGTGTTGACGTTTGTATAGGAAAATAAGGCAGAGAAAATAGGACAGTATTGTGAAGTGTGGACTATGAAAAAAGTTGACGATGTAAAGGTTGAAAGTCACGGTTGAAAGATACATGACGATTAACACAATTGGGGCTTTTTTGTTTTTCTTTGACTATTTCCAAGTCTTCATATAGGTCTAATTTTAGAAAATTTTTTTGGGGAATGTTATGTAACAAAGAGACGTCTTCTGGGATGTTGAGGGTATGTTTATGTTGTGCAAGATGTTGAGAGAAGGTGGAAGTGTTCTCTTTTTTAGTGTGTTCTAAGGAACGAGAAGTTAGTGATCTACAGGTTCTACCTATATATGTAGCATCACAATCAGAGCACTGTAATTTATAAACACCACTACGATCCATGTAGTTGATGGGATCTTTAGTATTGGTTAAGCATTGTCCTAGATTGTTCGGGACTTTGAAAGAAATGTGGGTATTCTCAACAGATCTTTTTAGGATGTATCTAAGATCTCCAGAAAGACGTTCTTGAAGGTAAGGCAAAGAAAAATAATGAGTTTTGATGGTCAAGTCTCTGGGAAACGCAGTCTCTCTCAATAGTTTGAGTTGTCTCTTATTTATAAGTTTGTTAATGATATTGGGGTCATATCCATTGTTGAATGCTATTTGTTTAAGGGTGTTAACCTTTGTATGATAGTTGGATTGTGATAGTGGAATTGTTAATAATCGGTGAATGTAACTATGGAATGCTGCATATTTGTGTGACATTGGGTGGTTGGAAAACAAAGGTATGATATGGTCACACAAATATGCAGCATTCCATAGTTACATTCACCGATTATTAACAATTCCACTATCACAATCCAACTATCATACAAAGGTTAACACCCTTAAACAAATAGCATTCAACAATGGATATGACCCCAATATCATTAACAAACTTATAAATAAGAGACAACTCAAACTATTGAGAGAGACTGCGTTTCCCAGAGACTTGACCATCAAAACTCATTATTTTTCTTTGCCTTACCTTCAAGAACGTCTGAACTGGAAGTGGTGCCATTGTATAAAGGAGGGGACTCAAAGCAACCTGAAAGTTATCAGTCAATATCTCTTTTAACAGGCATATCAAAGATTTTTGAATTATATGTAAATAACTAAATTGAATAATTCTTTGATTCATTGAGTTTACCAAGGAATTTAGACATGATTTAAGCAAAGTCTCTGCTGTTACTAACTGAATTATAAACATATACAACAAATTAGACAAAGGGTTAAGTTATGTATTTGTATCATTGGGTTTGAAAAAAATTTGTGATACAGTTAACCTTGACATACTTATTTAATTCATTGAATGGCTTGGAATGGTTTTAATTTAGTTGATGGATGATTTGAGCAACAGAATACAAAAAGTGATATGTAACAATGTGCTAATCTCATCAGAAAATATTGTGTGTGTAGTTTCTCAAGGGTCTATATTAGAACCTGTGAAGTGAAGGTAATATAACATCTGATACATCCTTTCCTTTACCATATTTTAAAAACTTACCCATTTTTAACAAATACTCAATATCAGTCTGGAAAAACTTGTTAAACAGCTGTTCTGGATCATACTCATTTGACTCAGCCCAAGATCTCGTAGATGTCCTTTGGATATTTCCACTTTCAGTATAAGTGTGTCCTTCACCTTCAACTTTTGCTTCTGGGTCTTCTGTATCTGGCGAAACATCCTGATCAGGATCAAATTCTCCGAAGAGTTGGCTATAAATAAACATCATAAACTATAAAACACTTTTTGCACAAAGAAATTTAGATAAAAAAAAATTTACCAACATACACACAAACTACTGAAAAGACAAAAGTATTAGCTTCACATGATTCTTAAGTTCCCCAAAATTTTCTTATTTCTATAAATTTTTCCCCCACAATCATGCCTTTGACAATATTTTGCAAAAGTTTATAACAATTAGAGTTACCAGCTGTTCTCCGTTTGAAGAGGTTTACTCTCTGGCTCTGGAACTCACTTCAGCCATGTATGTTACCTGAAGTCAATTTTAATTTAATACTGAACATCACAGTTTTTTTACAACATGATGTATAATCTTTTACAACTATATGTAATTTAAAGGGTTTTTACCCAGGTATTTTGGTGGCTCAGGCATTATAACCTTGCAATTTTAACATTTTAAACCTGATGATGGACTGTCCGAAAACATTTGTTTTTTTTTAATGTGGCCCTTTTAAGGGTTTTTAAATAAATATACCCATTTACGAAGACTAACCTCTTTTTTGTGATACGTGGTATACAGCCAGCTACAGGAATTGTTTTCCTTGTGGATTTTTAACAATGTCTTAACAATTTCTAATAGCATGCCAATATATTGGAGTAATTCACTTTCTTTCTTTCATTTCTGTAAGTTCTTCTAAGATATTATGATATTATATCGATCTAGGATATTTTTCATGTCCTTTAAATACACAACCAGCACAAATAATGGAACCTCTTGTAATTTCTGACAAAATTTCCTTGATCTTTTGATTTTTTTTGTTGTTCTTTTTGCAAATTGCACAAACAATGAACACTGTTTAGCAGAAATCCCTAATGTTAGTTTTAATGTTGCTCTTAGAAGAAGCATACACTCAACATCCTGGAACAGGTCGCCTGAGAAGAACTACTAATCAGAACCGCCATTTTGTAGTGTTTTCAGTACATAAAAATCATCATTCAACTGTTACAGAGGTTAGAAACAGTCTACATGTCAGAAGCATAAATTTTAGTGAATGAATTGTTAGAACACAATTAAATGTAGCTAATTGAATGCTCAAATACCTGCTACATAAATCAAACTTTACAGGGAACATACTGAAAAGCCAGATTACATTTCACTAGGGAGCATCACAATTGTAATGCAGATGATTGAAAAAATGTGATTTACCAATGAGTCCAGATTTTGTCTACATTTCCTGGATGATTGTGGAAAGGTCTAGAGAAGAGATGGTTAACAATATGCTGAGTGCAATTTCAGCCCATGAGTAAGTTTTCAAGGGCTTTCAGTTATAGCGTGGGCTGGTATATCTTCAGATGTCCCTAGGGGATCTGTTCATAAAGGAATTTGCTTTTTTTTTATCCTATTTTATCCAGTAATCTATATAGTGATGTGAGCTGTTGGAATCAATTAATTTCTTTTGGTTTACTATTTCTGACTTTGTATTAATTTTTAGTTCATGTTTAATAAAAAACATCATTGTTTTACCATTATAATAATATAACTATTACTTACTTAAATAAATGTTTGGCCCATACAATACAGTGAACAGGCTCAGATGGAGTATTTCTGATAGTGCATCCTGGAAAAGTCTTTTGAGGTGGTTTTGGTAAGCATTCATAACATTGTGTTACTCCTTTCATAATTAACTCCACTTGTCCTGAATAACCCGAAGTTCCTGATTCAATTAGGGGAACCTCAGCAGCTAAACACATACGATTAACATGGTTTCTGGCAGCTCTGTTGTCTAGTGCGTTTAAAACCAAATTGAATTTTTTAAAGAAATTGACTCCATAATCTTCACTAAAATATTACAAAAAATATGTTAAAATAATATACAAAAAGTTAGTTCCAAAAGAAATAAGAGATCCTCTTATTGGTTCAGAACTGTCAAAACATAAATAAGATTTAGTAAATATTTTATCCTGAAGAACAGGTGAAAGAAAAATAGAAATATGTAATATAAAAAGAACATAACAGTGTCATACAAAATAATTCAATAGTCTTTAATGAATCTTAGTACAGCACTTGATTTGCAAAGTTAATATCCTTATAATATACAGGCTGCTTGGTTTAACTGGAAGCAAATGAGGAGGTGCTCAGTGATCGAAAAATCGGGGAAGAGCTGAAAGGAAAAATATACAAGAGTGTGGTGAAGCCTGTGTTGGTGTAGATGGACGTAGCTGAAATGAAAATGTTATGGTGGATGTTGCTTAAAACTAGAAGGGACAAGATCAGGAACTACATGATTCGGGAAAGAGCAGGGGTAACTACCATTTCAAAAGATTCAATAACACTGCAATGGTTTGGTCACGTCGGATGTAGAAATAAAAACTATGTGTGACGAAGGATAGAGCTATTAGAAGTTGATGGAAAGAGAGGTAGAGGAAAACCGAAAAGATGAAAAGACATGTGTGGAAGAGGACTTAGGGAGAAAGGTAGGTGAAGAAAACATGATGGACAGAAATAAGTGATGAAGAAGAGTAAGGAATAGCAACCCCAGAGAATTGAAAATCCGAGGAAGAAGAAGAAAGCTTATTCTTTAAATGCTATTACCTTGTAATACTGTCATGATAAGCTATAATACGCATTTTTGGATTAAACTTCAGAATGCTGTCTCGGGCCACTTCTGCCTTTGGTTTGCCAACATGTTCTTTGCGGAATAGGAACTGTCTGTTAAGATTACTTACATCAATAGTATCCAAATCAATCTAAAAGTCAAAACAAAGTGTAATTAGAATCAGATTTAACTGTGTAATGAATTAATGTGCTTCCTTGCTTATATAATGTACAGAAAGAAGTCCACTTACAATTTCAATGTTTGAAAATCCAGAAATAGCCAAATTTTTTAAGACTTCACAACCAATACCGCCAGCCCCGACCACTAATACTTTAGCTTCTGAGACAGCTGCTTTTGCATCTTTAGGGGCAAGCATCGTTTTATTGCTGTAATTTTAACTTTTATTCAAATAAACCAGTATTAAATCAGTAAATAAGGAATTCAAAAAAATAAATGAACACATACAGCACGACGCCGGTATTTGACCAATGACATTTGACAATCTTGTTGGTTGACATTGACAAATTGTTGTTGTATTCTAACGATTCTGACAACTTTTAATTGTGATGTTCTATTTTTCTTTTCATTCTAATACGGGCTTTACACCAACAATAAATTCACGAAGAAATTCATGAATTTATTCATCAATTTCTGTGTCAATAAATTCGTGAATTTCTTGGACGTAAAAGTTTCTTTGACTTCAAATAAATTTTTACATCAAGTGTCATTATTTCAGTAGTACCAATTGTTTTATTATTGGATGTTATTTATTGTTGTTTATTTGAATAAATATATATTTGGATTTGGAAATATAATCAGAATCAGAAAACAATATCGTTTTAAAAAGAAAATAGTCTTCAAGATTGTACAAAAAATTATGCTGAATTTGGTAAAGAGTAAGAGCTTGAACAAGAGGTAAAATTAAGTGGAAATTACATTATAATTAGTGAAAACTTTTCATTTTTAGACATAGAAGATAATTTCAAATAACTTTAATAAGGACAACATAGCTAAAGAAACAGAAAAAGTGGTAATTTGATTTTTTATATGAAAGAACAAGAAAATCTAGCATTCATTACATACTAAAAATGAACTGTAGTTAGTATAAATGTTAATCAATTCATGGTGACTTTTAGAATGATGAAAGCCTTTATTTAAATACAATACCTGCCTCAACCAAGTAGAAGAAAAGAAGAGAGAAAGCTACAATACTTTTTATAATCTTTTAACCACTATTCATAATATATTCTCAAGAGATCTTTACCTAATATAAATAGCTATGTTTATTGTTAGAATATTGAGATGTGTACAATTCTAATCACAAAGAGATATTGTAATAAAATGAATACTTAAATAAAACATGGAAATAACCATTAATACACTTTACCACTAGTTTGTGAGCTGATTCTTTACAATTTTAATGATTTGTCTTTAACATATTACAATTTGCTTTATTGAATAGTAGGGTATAGGTTAGGACTAAACTAAACAGGTGTATAAAAATACAATAATTTTTAAATATTATATAATTTAAATAATAAATGAAGAATCATAATAACAGGAATAAAAGCTAGTTTTAATATTTGTTATACACAAACAACTATGATTTTTTTCTAAATAAAAACTACAGATTTTATCCGTAGGATATGGAATCCTGCACTTTTAAAGGAAGATAGTTAATTTAAGAAGAAAACTATGAATAATAAAGTATGAGAATAAGAAAGAACAAAATTACTAGCAAGCCAACGGCTTCATGTAGAAAAAGAGCACAACAGAAACATGTCAGAGAAATGGAATTGTTGAAGATATGCATTGAAAAGAAATAGATTTATTCGGTTTAAAAATTAAATTATACAAAGAAAAAATTAATAAAAGATAAAAAAGTTCTATGTATATTATTGATTCTTCTGAGGTTTTCCCATAACACACAAATATTTTATAGGGTTCTCAAACACCTTCAACTTAAGGAAGTTCAATAACGTCTTTATTTAGCAATTAATCTTCAAAATTGTCTCCACTTTGATTTTTTAATTGAATCATTTTAACTATACACTTTCATTGGCTAAAATTGGAAACTTTCTTCTTCCATACACATTCTGTTAAATATCTGGAATTCATTGCACAAAATTTCAGGATGTTTTAGTGGCCAGCCTGAATGTGAATTTAAAATCTAATCAATAATATAGAATTATTCATACCTGTTTCAAAAAAATAGATGAGTGGACTCAACGCAAAGTTAATTATCAATAATCCAATATTATTCATACCTGGTTCAACAGGAAAATATATTCAGGGAGTATCAGAATTTAAAATGTCTAAATTCTTTTTTTTAAGTTGCTGTTTTTGAGAATCATGAGCGGAATGTGACAGCCTAGGTATATATCTCTCCATACTTTTCATTTTGCAATCTTATAATACTTGGCATTTCAAAGAAAATCATCCTTTCCTGTTTCAGAAATCAATAGCATCCATATCTCCTGGAAAACGTTGATTAATCCATTTTTAAACTTTCGACTAGACCAAGTAAAAGATAGGAGTGAAGAAAAAGGCAGAATTTTATAATCTTTTATTAACAAATATTTACTATATATTCTCAAAGCGTTAAATAGATAATATTTGAAAAAAACATGTATGAAAGGGAAAAGTAAACAATATTTTAATAAAAACTAGAGTTTTCTGCCTCGAAATTTTATGTTTTTCCTAAAAAAATACATAATATTATTTTCTGTCTTTTATTATAGAGTAACTTACCTCTTTTCCATAACTATTACCTATTACTTGACACAGGACTTAAAAATGCAAAGTTCAATTTGGTTCAATAATCAAAAACAAAATAATTATTATCCCTACTTCGCGCCAAATCTACACAGGTTGGTGATACTGAATTCACGTCCAATAAATGAGAAAAATAGAACATGTTCTATTTCGTCAATTTCTTCACGAAGTTATTCATGAATTTATTCACGGCAAAATTGGATGTCAAATTGTGCTTTACACCGGTCAAATTTGACCTTGAAGCGACTTCACGAATTTCTTCATGAATTTATTGTTGGTGTAAAGCCCGTGTAAGGTTATTAAAAATAATAATTAAACAATTTTATTCCTATTTTTAAATATTTGTGTTGTAGTAACTAACCACACCATAAATATAATTTAAATTAAAACATTTTTAAGTTGTCGCGACGTGCCATCTATGTTTATTTCTTCTAACTGCATGTAATAATAAGTTTCTGTGCTACCGACTGTTGTAGTCCGTTGTAGTTTTCTTTTGTGTTCTTAAATGATGTCAAAAGTAAGTGTAAGTTCTACTTGTATAGATAGCGCGCCGGTGTATGTATAAATCCAAAGAATACACCCCCTAATGCGGGTGGTGTGTTTTTTATAATGTAAAAAAAAACAAAATTTTTTTTTACATTATATTATTGTAGTTGTCTATTAATATGGCAAATAATTTGTACATTATAATATATGCATTAACGATTATGACCACTTCTTTTAGTTAAATATGTAGGTAGGTACTTGAATCCAAAAATAACCAATGCCAAGAATGTGGATTTATTTTATCATAATAGGTGCAAGGTAACCATTACCTTCGTAATAAATACCTTAACGGTATAGGCAGACTAAGAAACCAGCGTTAATTATTACATATTATTTGTTTGTATTTTATATAGAAGATCGAATGTTTCTAATTCACTAGGATATTAAGAAAAAACTTACCATTAACAACCAATGTTATCAATTAAAAGGCTATTTTTGATTTATCTGATGTTTTTGTTTCTATGCAATAAAACCAGCGTCAATGTTTTATTCCAGGACATTATATGAAACTATCAAATACAATTTTATTCGAGTTCTCATAAAGCAGCCAAAATCCTTAAAAGTCCTTAGTCTACCAGAAACGAAATTAATTCCTATTAAATATGAAATAAATCTATAAAATTTAATTTATTTAATTTGTCATTGGTTGTTTTAGATTCAAAGTGCAAAAATGTAGTTTTTGATTCCCATGCGAAAATTGAATGGTTTATAAAACCACAAAAAGCAAATAGAATTAATAATTCTAGATGATATAAAAACAGTTGATAACATTAAGTAAGTTAATTTTTATATTGTTCTTCTTTAAGTTCCCTCTGATTTGAAGAGTTGCAACCAAGTATCTTGTTTTCCTTCCTTATATCTTCCCGTGGATTATTTAGACAGACAAACGTTTGGGTTTTCTGCTTTAATTTTTCTATATTTTAAAATTTCGAAAAGCCGAGTTGTCACTTTCACCGAATTCGACGTTTCGAAGTTCTTCTTAACCGCCTTCATCGTCATTGTGGTCTCCGTCTGCAACTGTATAAAAAGGGCTTTTATAGGAAGCTATCAGTTAGGCCGGCTCAACCTTGATTTTTATAGAGGCTTATTCCTCTATATCTTCTGTTTTTACCAAGCTTGTAATCGGTTGCATCCAGTGTGGGGCTATTCAGGTAAACTCACAACCAATCAGAGTTTTGCCTCTTATAATATAAAGCAAATATTGAAGTTTTCTTGTAATAGAATAGTTTTATAGTCTTACATTCTTCGGTTGTTCTGTGTAATCCGTCTACTTTCATTAGTTTATCCGTCCATGACACTGTAAATATTCCTATAAGATAACATCTCAATGAAATTTTTTTTGTTTCAGATTGTTTTCTTATCTATGTTTCTTAGTTATAACATGATCATTATTATTAGTTTTGGGTAAACCCCCTTAAATAATTCTATTCCTTCTGGTCTTAGCATCTTAAATGCAGTTTTGCTAGACGCGCTTAATGTCGTCCGACCATCTTGTTGAAGAACGTCCTCGATTACGATAAGCGTCATGTCTAGGTCTCCATTCAACATTTTCTTGGTGTATCTTCCATCTCTGACTCTGGCAACATAGACTGCTTAGTTCCATTTCAGCATTGTAATTGTTTTAACTTTATCCTTAACATCAGTTTTCTCCTAACTATTTGATTTGAAACTCTGTCTCTGAGGGATATTTTCAAGATTGATTTCTGCATTTCCCTCCGTGTCATTTGTATTTTATTTAATAATTTTCTGATCAACACTAGCAGAAGAACAAGGTTTTAGGTCGGGAAGATCATGCATATATTATGAGATCATTAAAATACAACAGACCGGCAATCTATGTTTCGTGGACTTTACAAAGGCATTTGACCGGGTCAAATTAAAAGACGTTATCCACTTACTGTATGCAAGAGAGATACCCCTAGGAATAATCAAAACGATCGAAAATATCTACCAAAACAACACGATAAAAGTAAAAGTAGAAGAAGAACTAACCGACCCTATTGAAGCTGGAAATGGGATAAGACAGGGAGATTCCCTGAGTCCTCTATTGTTCAACCTGATTATGGATGAAATAATAAAAAAAGTAAGAACAAAAAAAGGGTACCAAATGGGAGACAAACAATTTAAAATAATCTGCCATGTAGACGACGCAATACTACTA